ATGCATGAGACCAATTTGTGTGTGATTAGAATTATGCAGAGGTAATGCTTTATACTCGGCAGAGCCTTTCAGCCCAGTGCAAATCACTAGCACAACGTGCAGCAGCAGGGAAATGCCAAAGCCCTGGGACAGGGCTTGGCAGACCAGAATGCAGAGGAACTGGTGAGTGTGGAAACAAAATGATTCTTTAAGTTTCTCTGAAGAAACTTCAGTGCTCACAGTGGCAGGAATGCTCATTTGCAGCTCTTAGGTGTGCAAAGAGGGAAGAATCAACTTTGTCATTCTCCTGCTCAGTACTTGGTTGGGATATCAGCGATCCCTCCCCAAAAGCACCTTTTTCTTTTATTTATGGCTTTTCACATTTTCATTCTGGGAAGGACATGATAGTACTGCCTCTCCCATTAAAATGAAATGAGCAGTAAAATCAAACATGCTGCAAACCACTTAGAGGTGGGCCCAGATCATTTGTGTGTGGGGAGCTTGAGGGTTATTTGAATGTGTTGGTCTAGCCATTGTTTGGAAGAAGGGATGGAGTTGCTCAGCACATGGTCACATTCCATAAGTGCAAAAGTGGTGTCAGGGATGGAGGAGACCTGCGCAGTTTCAGTAGATGGGAAGGATAAAACCAAGCAGTATTAATCTCAACTAGTAGGGTGTCGTGGTTTAACCCCAGCTGGCAACTAAGTCCCACACAGCTGCATGCTCACCACCTCCAGTGGGATGGGGAAGAGAATTGGAAGGGTAAAAGTGAGGATACTCATGGGTTGAGATGCAGACAGTTTAACAAAAAAACCAGCAGCTGTGCATGCAAGCAAAGCAAAATAAGGAATTCATTCACCACTACCCATCTGCAGGCCATCCAAGTTCAGCCATCTCCAGGACAGGAGGGGTCAATCATACATAACTTGGGAAGACAAACACCATCACTCTGAATGTCTCTCCTTTTTTCCATCTTCCCCTCATTTTATATGCTCAGCATGATGCCATATGGTATATCTTTGGTCAGCTGGCCCAGCTTTCTCTCCTCCCAATTTTTCATGCACCCCTAGCCTGCTCCTTGGTGGGGTGAGGTGAGGGGAACATCCCTGTATTATCAACACTCTTTCCAGCACAAGCCTAAAATACAACCCTGTACTAGCAGCTATGAAGACAATTAACTCTATCCCAGCCCAAACCAGCACATGGGGAGAAAAATCTCTTAAAACAGAACTGACCTCTTAGCTTATTTGCTCCTGTTATGGCCATTGGGGATGGATGTCTTCAAGTGATAAAGAGAACATAAGCAGGGATGCAGCCAACTATGCTACTACATTGTCAAAAAGGAGCCAGCTGAAAGTCATGGAACTTGCTGCTGTTGCCACCCCAATATCAAGACTGCAGTACATGAGATGTGGTATGTGCTTCAGATCTGAGCTGCAAGGTTTCTGGAGAACTGCTCATTACTCAAAGGAAGGAATTTGGATGAGGTTTATATTCATGTTCCTTCCCCTGTATCCTAAGGGCTTTGTCATAAAAAGCTTGCTAATTGTCTTCCATGAGCAGCAATTCACAGAAAGTACTGTCTGTGTATAACATGACTGAATTCAAACAGATTAAAACCACTTCATGAGTTTGTTAAAAGGAGGAGTGAAGGCAGTGTCAGAGGTTCAAACAAGTGCCTCTGTGTTATGCTACACTCAGTAGCCCAGTTTTTCTTTAGGCCTGCAGGAACATGAGAGACTTATGATGCTTCCTGCTTCATCCCCCACATCTCAGCAGGATTAAAGCTGCAGTGTTGAAAATACAGAAGTGAGCCTTGAGCATTCCGGAGCCCCTGCGTCTACCCTTGGACAACAAGTTGTTTCTTCTTTCTGGGATAGTCTCTTCTCTCTAGATTTTGGAGTATCCAGTCTCAGTCCTGAGTGTTTTCCATGCTGTAGAGAACTTGCTATCCTTCTTCTGGGAATATTGAAGAGGGCCAGCACAAAGGGAGAGCACATTAATGAGCCTTGTCTGCTCATTTAATTAGCAAGTAGAGATGCAAAGTCTACTCTTAAAGAGACTTCTGTTCCTTTCTGTCACCCATCTAAATATCAGGTCATACCATTTTGAAAGTGACATCTCTGGAGCAGGGACTGAGATACCAGACCAGCAGTTAGGGTCACATGCTTTCATTCTCATGGTGGCTTCTGGGAGTTACCATGTTAGGGAGAATTCTCTTCTTTTGTTCTGTTCTTGGGTTTTTTTTGTTTTGTTTTTTTTGTTTGTTTGTTTATGCACTATCCTTCAGCCGCATTTGCTTCTAAGCATGTCCCAGCTGTACATGTCACCTGTGTTGGCCTCTCTGGGGTCAATCCTTGCAACTAGAAGACATGCCAGTGTTACAGGAACAGCAGGGTGGTATAGTTTGGGCAAAAGCTGTGCCCCAGGGTCAGCTCCTCCTCAGGGGTAGAAAATACTGAGCCTCTATAGTGCGAGCAGTAGCTCAGGCAGGTGTATTACCTGAGAGGCATGAGCAGAGCCATGAGCTTCCATACATGATCTCTCCATTAGAGAGAGACAAAGACTTGCATTGCATTATTGGGTGGTCCATTTTCACCACCTAATGAAAGCCTAAATTCCCATTGTCCCCACAAATTCCCCAAAGCTGATTCACTACTTGAATTAAACCATAATTATATATTATCAGCAGTCACTTTATGGTAAGGTTGAAGGATTAAATGCAGTTAGTGGTGATGAATTCCAGATGCGCAGGACAGAAGCCTGAAGAGAAGGCCAGCTTCTGAGTAACTACAAGATAGTGTAATGTATTCTAAATATTTGATTCAATTAGGCTTCCTTCTGCTCTTTGTTTCAGCTTACAGATGGCTCATCAATCTATAGTTTAGGGACACATTGCTATTCTTTCTAATGGTAATTAGATGATCAGGATGGAGACAGGTTTGATGAAATGCTCACACTATGCTCTGCATATTTAAAATGGAACAGAGTCCAAAGCACAGGCAAGATGCTAACCCGCTACTGCACCTGGCTTCAGCCTCAGGCACTTATAGGTCTTCCTTTAGCACAGGTAATGGGGACTTTGACAGTTCCTACCGTTCAAGGAACAGGAGTTTTTGAATTCACGAACTATGATTGTTTGTATTGGTTTTGAATGCTGCTAAACTTTTATTTGACAGTTTTTTGCAGAAATACTCATGATGCTTGCCCATTTTTGGCTCATCTTCACCGAGGGGGTTCTTTCAACTTGGAAATTAGTGGCAAACAGTTGCAGAGTCTGTGATCAATCTTCCAGGGACTTCTGCATGTTTGGGAAAGGCCATCATGGTACTTTTAGGACAGGGTATGTATTCTTAACAGCTTGTAGCTTGCTCATGATTATCAGTCTACAGCCTCTGAAAGCAGGAATATTTGAGGGGATGCCCCAGCTGTGAAAGTGTCCCATTTTATGTTTTTAACCCTTACGATTTTTTTATCTACCGACAAAGTAAAATTGTAAAGTAGAACACGGCCAGAAGCTTTGCATGCAAATGTATAATGATCCTGTATATTCCTTTAGCCACTCCATCTGAGAGCTGCTATAGTAATTAAAAATTTAATAAGGTGTTATTTCTTTTATGCAGATAAGAAATTTGAGGCATGCAGAGGATTGAAGCTCTAAGGGTAAAACTGCACTCAGGGAAAGAAATTGGGCAAACTTTACACCTTATTTAAATTCCCATTTAAGGGCCACATGCACCTTGTGCTGGCCTTCTCCCAGACATGGATTTTGCAGTCAGTCCTCAATGCAGCAAAGTACTTAAGCACATCCTGACATGCTCTGCTGAATCAGGGTTTTAAGTGGAAGTGACAGAAATAGAATTGAGATCTCAGTCATAACCTCACCCTGAAGTCATCAGGCAATGCTTCCTTTCTTCACTGCTCTCCCACTGCAGTAAGCTACAACAAGTGTTCGAGACAGGCAAGACCCATGCCCCGAACCTCTGCCCCTTACCACAACCCAAGCCACCCAGCTGCAATTTAAAAAATATGAGCCAACTAGACAGTTTTAACAATTCTGAGACTTGAGATCTTTGTCTCCTGGTGTCTTGAGTCATTCAAGTGCACTATTTAAGCAAATGGAAGAAGTATTCTTTTAACTGTGATACAGCTTCCCTACAGGAGATCAACAAATCTAAAGATCTCTTTCCCCTATACATACGGTACCCTTCCAGTGTTATCAGTCCCCCAAAACATTTACCATTTTCAGCTGTTTTTGAGCTGAGAACTGTTTTCTTGAGTGAAGCTTTTGTCTGTAAAATTCTACTTTCAGTTTCTTGTTTATTTAATTAGGTTTTATCTGCAGTAAGAATTTCAGGCTGAAATTTTGTTACATGCTGCCTAGGAAAGGGAATCTCTGCTTGCAGTACTAATTTGAATAGCCAGTTAACAGCTGTACTGTGTACTCATACAATCACAGTCCTTCTGTAGACTTGGTGCCAATGCTCTGTGCTTTCAACTTTCTAGGGAACAAGCACCTAGCAAGTTGCTTCTTTGAGGGCAAGTGGGAGGGAGAAAGGAAGGAGGGAGAATTGTTTTGGTTTACTTCTTGCCCATCTGCTCTTCCTCGTTCTGACTTCAAAAAAATCTACCTGCACTGTTATTTAGGTGAAAGAAACCCAGACCTTGGGCACAAAGGTTTCAGAGAGTGCAAATACTGTTTGTCCTTTGGCAAGCTTTTAAAGAGAACTTTTTTTTCAAATCATGTCTATTTGAGACTTGTTATGTAGTACTCTTCAAGGATAAAGAATGACTTTCAATATTTGTAGTTTGAGAAGGCTAGCAATCTCCTTGATGTCATTTCATTAAATTCCATTTTTCTATTATGGCTATAAACATTAGTAAACTCCACTTCTTTTGATGGTAGGACTGATTATTCTGCTACTCAAGAGCCTATTTTAGGATAGAAAATTACTTTGTTGTATTGACTCACTTAGAACTCAGACATTCAATAGAGGGAGATTTTTTTTTCAACCACTGTCTTACAAGGAACATTTCCCATAAGTTTATTTGCTTTATTACAATTAAAATAAGAAACCACAGTAGTTCTCAAAATAAGTCTCTCTTCTTTACTTAGCCACCCTTAGGATGCTGCTGCTCCTAAAGTCTACTTTCCCAGGCTATGCTATCCAGCGGCGATAAAGGTTAAATTACCATTTTTGATACTGCTCCACCGGCATTTTTCCTGATGATTCGACGCTGCTTGTTATTTCCCATCTGCTGGGCTTCCTGGAGTTACAGCTTGAATGCCAGTGTGACTCCATCCGCCATGGGGAGCATGCTGATACTGATGCGGGAATCTCTGAGCAGCTTCTCATTGAGGCGGTGGATGCTCTGCACTGCCAGGTCATCCTTTCTTGGTTTTAGCACGTTCCCACCAAAAAGGACCTATTGAAAAAAGAGGTGTTATGCATCTCATTTGTTCCAGTATGATCCTTGGACCACAAAGGAAGCTTTGGAAAAGGTCCTGCATATTTTTTAAAAATTTATATTATTTATTGTATTTCAGACTTCTAATGGTCTCTGACATGGAACTCTCATTAGTAAGTGGGATTGGGAGTCCACGGAATTTGGTAATTGTAATTCTACTGTAGATTAGAAGCCAAAATAAAAAAAAATGTGTTTAAACATAAGGTTTTTAAAAGCCCCTATTCCACTGCCACTGTAACCCTCAAGGTGCCTGAAATTTTAACATTATTTGTTTCTAGTAAAAGTTAGCAATTAATTACTTATTAGTAGTTACTGATTAAAAGTGCTACTTTTGATCTTGTGTAAGTACTGTACATTGTACTGAAAGCACTGCACTACAAGACAAACCAGAATAATACAGAGCATTCCCTGTAATGAAATACAAAAAAAATTCTAACTTTCTGTTATCACACCCTGTTTAGGTACTAACATAAATTTAACACATTACTTTTAACTTCTACAGGGTTTTATTCCTTCTCTATATTAGTGTTTTGTATAGCTTACTTTAGGAATTTTATTTTCATTTGTATAACATGGAACAAACATGTCGCAATTGGCAACCCAGATGCAGGTCAGAAATCACTTGACTAGAATCCCACTGTGACTTTTTTTTTTCCTTTCCCACAGCCAAAAGCAGTAACTCCCTGTGCTATTACCACTACAACTGCAGTACTTACATTATCAATGGCTATTATTCCCCCTTTCCTTATGAGTCGCAAACATTTTTCATAGTACTCATTGTAGCTTTCTTTATCCGCATCAATGAAGGCAAAGTCAAAGGTTTCTGCTTCTCCGCTGGCCAGCAGTTCATCTAGATGAGCAACAAAGTGAGTCGTTACACCCTGGTTGATGCTGTGTAGGAGGACATAATCCATTTCTGTCAAAGTTCTCGTTAAATAATGTTTTTTGCTGCCTTGACCAGGCAGCCTATTCCTCCACAGGTAATTACTAGAAAAGCCTATCCCACAGAAACCAATCTAGACATGATGTATGCCATAAAACACTCAGTTACTGAGTCCTGCCTGCTCAGGAGTTCATGGAGTAGCTCTAAAACTGCAAGATACAGCTGGGACTCTTGAAAGGTGCAATAAAAACAAATCAAGCAGTTTGAAACTGGACACATTCTACACCTTCAGCTGTTTTTGAGCTGAGAACTGTTTTCTTGAGTGGATTGGAATTTTTCTCACATTTATGAACAGGTTCTAAATGCTAATCTCTTGTTGAAGATCAAGTGCCATGACACAGATCATGAGCAAACCCTGTCAAGAAATATTTATCACAGCAAAAGATTGATCTAAGTAGTTCCTCTCTGGGCCAAGGCAAGTGACATTCAGTTTTAAGTTCTCCTAAACTCCAAATTGCCAGTTGAGGATGGCTGCCTGCTGTTTTGTAAGGTTTGCTGCCACCCCTCTCACCTGCCCTTACCATCTGTCAACAGAGCATCGTTTCTTCTGAAGCAATGCCTAGACAAAGTTGTTTGATAGACTTCAAGGACAGTGTATACTAGCAATGTGCTTGTATTTGCCTCTTTGGAAAAGGATGGATGAATTTGGAAGTACTACAAGGTTATGAATAGATCTGTGGATCCATCAAACACCTTTGCTGGAAACCTTCTTCTGCCTCCAAGAATCCTAGAAAAGTTCTGGCATTTTCACAATACTTAGTAATATTTCCTCTGTCCCATGTTTTCTCTTTCCTTGAATGAGAAGAGTAATTGCCTTACTAATGGCCTTGCATGGTTTTGGCACATCCTGAATTTGAACTTCTCTGAATACAGTTCAACTACTGTACCCTAAGTTTTACATTTGCTTCTGAATTTTTTATGCACTTCAGCCCTTTCAGAAAACTCTTCCTGTCCGTAACAAAAGAATACTTGCTTAGCATGGACAATGGATAACAGAAACTGGTCTTCATCTAATTAATCTGTTTTAATCAGCTTTCCCAGCAGCAGCTGACAATAGTACTTCATAGATTAAACGAAGTGATGGACAGGACAGGTGGGTGACTAGTACAGCCCACTACGTAGGACAAGCATTTTCCTCCTCTCTGCTAGTAGGTAGGAAAACTGTGAACTTCTAAAGATTTTTTTTTTTTAAATATAAGAGAAGCTGTCTGTTAGCAAAAGGGATCACATTCACAACCATATTTGGTCTTACATTTCATCACTATTGTAACCTTCTTCTATTTCCAGGGAAGGGGGAACAAAAAATTAATTCTGGTTACTTACCAAGTGTTTGAATTGCTGGCTTAATCCGCAGGTCAATTTTATGCTCTACTCCTGCCTGAAATGAAAAAGAACAGGGAGTTAAGGGTGGTCAAGAAATAACCTGTTAGTAGATTGCACTCAGGGAATGACTGGTGTTCGGATACTTTTCCTATTATTTCTAGGTTCCAGACACCACTTATTTGTCTTCCCAAACTGAACTGTTTCAGCCTCCTTTAATGATAAGAATACTTCTGTGTGAATGTGCAAGTCTAAAATACCAAAATCTCTTCACCTGTAAATGCAGCTGTCCCAAATGTGTGACAGGAGATGCTGCTTACCTCCTTCCACAGTGGCTTTCCAATTTTGGCATAGTCCTCGTTTATATCACAGGCAATAACTCGGCCATTATCTGGCAGGGCAAGTGCCATATTCAAGGCATTATAACCTGTGAAAACACCTAGGAAAACCATAGGAGTCATCAACACTTATTGTATTGTGGAAAAAAATAAATAAGTAGTGAACTACATGACTCTCTTCAGGAATACTGTCCATTAACAAATTGCCATCCTTGACTCCTTTGGGGATTTTAGAGATTTTTCCCCTCCATTTTAATGTAATGGTGGGTTGGGAGAAATTTTTACTTTTTTACTTTTTTTTAAATCAGTCTTTAAGCAAATGTTGGCTTTTTCCAAAAGTCTCGTGGACAGACAAGGCCCTGCATATCTGACCCAAAGAGACTGGATGAGCAACAAAATACCAGGGCATCTGAAGAGCCAGGCCAAGAACAAAGACGGTGGGAATGCATACCTGGCTGTTCAGCATCAGTCTGATGCACAGACATCCTGCTAACATAGGTGCCTCAAGGAAAGTGGATTGGGTTCATGGCCTGTGCAGCAAAATACTTTCTTCTGGCAAGAAACTGATACAGGAAGGAAAGAATACACCCTGTCCTGCTGGAGACCCAAGTGATCTGTTGTTCTCATTTTTTTCAGACTTCCTCGGAACTGATGAGCCAACCATGCTGATGCCAGAACTACTGAATGCACGAAGTGGCAAGCAAGTGCAAATTCAACACTCCTTTTCATGCTATAGTTTGACCATCTGTTTGCTACAACAGGTATGCAGTGCCTTACTGTATTTGGATATCTTATGTTATACATGGTGTGTGTGGAGAAGAACAGTCAGGAGTTTTACTACAGAGTGACACTCTTACCTATTTCAATAACTTTCTTGGCTTTAATGAGTTTGACCAAGTTTGCCATAAGCTGAGCCTCGTCACAAGACACCATCATTCTGCCCCAGGGATGCTCAAGGGTGAGCTAGAGAGAAGGGAAAAATATAACACATCACAACAAACCAATCCCAAAGCTACCAAACCAATATTCTAGGGAAAAAAAAGTGAAACTCCAGGAAAAATAGATAACCCTAAAAACAGATAACCTTCTCATTTTAGATGGCTTTGTGCTCCATCTATGAGCCAGAAATTGGGTTGAATTTACCTGTAACTAAGGAGGGTGTAGTGTGTGTCATAAGCAGTTGATATTCAAAGCAGTAATATACCCCAAAGTTACCACAGCTGTGGCAAACTCAGCAATATTTATAACTGATGAAAAATCATAGAGGAACCTTGACTGCAAAAGTCCTTTATTTCTGTGAATTTACATAAACAGGTGCACTTCCTTCAAGACATAGAATGCTTTTATGAACTGCTGGTTACCATCTGTTGCCAAAAGGTCATACCCTGTAGCTCTGGCTACACAGTGCAGAGCTGGAGGGGCTGAGCCCATGACAGGGTGGAAGGGCTCCTGGCACTGAGGAGGGGGCAACAGGAGAAGCAGGGCTGTGCCGTGACAGTTGAAGTATGTCCTCCCATTTCCTTTCTTCCTCTAGGGCTCATTGCAACCAACCTGTTCCAGTACTTAGCATTTCACTGATTTTATGCAGGAGCAGTTTGTTTCACCTGAAATGATTAAATCCTGAGTCACGATGTCATGTCTGATCTCTGACACTGGAGCCTGCTGAAGGACATCACCTCTCTCTGCTACAGGTTCCTTATATGCCAAGTAAAATGAACAGAAGTCATCTGTTCAAGTCAAAATCAAATGCATCCCAAACACATGGACTTCGCAGCCAGAGATAGAAAGACATGTCTAAAATGTATGTCAATACTATTCAATGCTCACATAGCTAGCCCTGAACATTGACGAATCTGGATACTACCAGTTCAGAAAACCCTCCAAGGTGTATGCAAATAAGCTGGGGGAAGGAATGTCACAAGGATCCCAGCAGTTCAGGATGAGGTGTGGGAGATACTGACCAGACGCAGCTTCTTTAGAATTGGATGTTCCCGCAAAGAGTGATCCAGTATGTATTGCCAGAGAGGACTGTTCTTCCCAATTAAACTCTTGGATGACTTAGGTGTCCCAAAACCTAAAGAAGGGTATCTTTTACCTACAAAAAATAAGGAATAATAAGAACTTTTTTACTTTTCAGTTATTGGCTCTTTAAATAAAGCAAGCATTGATGTATTACTAAAGATTAAAAAGTTCTTTGCTCTAAAAAATCTGTGAAAACGGAAAATGCAACACAGCTGGACAGCTCAGTGGACTGTCTTTTCTCCTCCCCCCCCAAACACTTTTTAACCTCTAAGATGTCCAGCTCAGGCCTGCAAAGGCTGAAAGGGAAAGGAAGGCTTGGGTACTGTGTTGTTCAGTGGCTGATGTGATGCTTACAAGCTGCCATACTCTTACAGGACAAGCAACCACATCAGAACTCAACGGACAAGTTTAAGCTGAGAAACATGAATGTGACACGCTACTTTCTTAGTCTAGGGCCTGCATTTTGCAGATGAAAAGAGACTGCTGGTTTTTAGGGCTGTCAGCTGATGCATCTTCTCAAGCCCTATGTTCTCCTCATGACACGGTCCTGGGTCCTGCCCTCTAGCCAGAGGAAATCTGGTATTGCTCAATGGCTTGTTTAGCATTAAACTAGTATGCAAATAAAGTAGGTGCTGACGGTTGAAGTTTAAGGGCTATTGCATGTCTACTCAGATACAGAACTGACTGCACCTTTGATGCCCAATGCTTGTTTTACCAAATGGGTCAAATATTTTAAAGAAATAACAACAAGCACATATCCTGGTAGTGTTTGCTATTAGAAACCACTATTATTTTGAGGGGTTTATTTTGTCTTTATCGATCTGTTTTACAGACGATCACTCCGAGGTCTAGAGTATTTCAGCAACTCGCCTGAAGTCAAAAAGTAAATAAGCAAGTGGCCGCGTTACAAGCCCAGCACTAGTTTCCTTCTCCTGCCAGATCATCGGCTCATTCTTCCGCTGATCCAGGGGAATGAAAGCGAAACTGTTACCGGAAGACAATGCTGCGAGCAGGGCCCGCACCGCGGCGTTCCGGGGATGGCCAAACGCACCCAGGCAGGGGCCGGGCAGGGTAGCACGTCCTCGCCTTCGCTGGGACCTTGGCGCCGGCCCCACAGTGCGGTAGCTGGATTATAGGGAGCGGCTTGGGCTCTAAGAGCATCAGTGTATTTACTGCCACAGCTCAGCGAAATAAATCCCTGCCCGCAGGGCAGCGCCCAGGGGTCCATCTGCTCCTCCGACGGCCGCCTGGCTGCACCCGCGGCGGGGACTCCTGCTCGGGCCGGGGGGGAAAACCTGCCCGGGAGCTGCGGTCCCCGCGCCCTCCCCGGTGGGGACACGAGGAGGGCGCAGCCCCCACGTCCCCGTGTGTGTGCCGGGTGTTGGGGGGCGCCGCTTACCTGCCAGCACACCCGTGGCAAAGGCGATCCCCAGCATCGCCGTCCCGACGGCCACCTCTTTGGGCACGCTGAGGAGCGGCATCTCGGAGCCGGGCGGGAGCGGAGCGGCAGCGGCACGGCCCGGACGGTCACACGCGACGGGCGGGACGGTCCGCCCGCCCCCGGGAGGGCGGGGCCGCTGTCCGCGCCCGCCGAGATCCTGGAGACGGCGTTTGGGTGCCTCCGGGTGCCTCTTACTGTGTCCGCTCCCGGCGTGCCCGGTGCTGGCCTCGGCTGGGAGGGCGAGAGGGTGGGTCACCCACTTGGCTGTGGTGTGTAAAGGGACACTTGGGATTTGTGCCCCCACCTCCGCGGAGGCTGGTTTTGGTACGGCTTCACTGCAGTTTCTAAAACGCACCTTAATATCGTGTGAGCTGGTAATGGGCTCTGATGGAGGAGCTTTTCGCAGTGACTCGTGAGAGCCTTGGTCCTCCAACTAGCCCAGGAGGTGAGCTCTCTTCTTCCCCTAGCACAAACGTTGTTTGCAGCTGAGGTGCGAGCAAACTCCGTATCAAAACGCATGTAGGATTTTGGGACTTCAGTCCTGTGACCTGTGAGTTTCCAGGTGAAAGTGGTCAAGGAAGATTCTCCAAGAGAGGGGGAACGGGACCTGGTTTTCTCTGCCGGTGTTTCAGCCCCCTCTGCAGTGCCTTCCAGGTGAGGAGCAGCAGTGGCGAGGGCAGCCTTGTTGTTTGGGGATATCCTCCCTGGCCTAGTCCGTTGCTGAGGGAATTGATATATAAGCCAACAGTGACTGTGTTATCATCTTTTTTAAAAGTTAGCCTAAATCCAGCTTTTGTTCTCTTTTGTGAAAGAACCCTGCAGTGCCTTTTGGAGATGGACCAGGGATTTAGTTTTCATTTTTGTGAAGTGTTGGAAATATCTGGATTTTGTAAAACCCAACCAAGATGTAAAGTTGCTCTACAGGAGATGAAATTAGCAGCGTTGCATACAGACCAGAATAGGCAGAAATGGAGTGGGTTGCAACTTGGCCTCCATAGATGTAGAATGAGAGCAGGTAAAAATTCCCTTTTGGCATATAGTAAATCTCTAGGAAGCAAGATGATTTCTGTGTTGGTAGGTTTGGATGATAACTTTTCAACTATTTTCCTATGCTAGCAAAACTATCTAGTGTTAATGCAGTTGGAAGAAAAAGATTCTTCTTTAAGTACATCTTAAATGGAGGATTAAATATATCACCAGGGTATTTATGGGAAGTGGGTTTGCCCATCACTGCATTTTTAGTGTGTATTAGACCTTATTTATGAAGACTTGAGACCAGAGCTCTTGCATCTCTTTTGCAGCAACTAATCATGTCAATCACTAAGCAGTCTGCTGTGCTTTCTGATTTGCAGAACAAAGCAAGACATATGATCTGTCTTGGCAGATGAAATAACTTTCAGTTCACTTCTAAAATGTATTTGATTTTGAAAACTAGGATTGTTGGCTTTTTTTCCCCTTCAGTATCTCGTCACTTTCTCTACATTTTGCTTTGGTAATTGTTTGTAAATGTTATTCCGTCTTTCAGAAGATGAGTTATCAGAATGCACAGGAAGGTGTCAGTTTTAGGAGGCAACAATTCTTCTAGCGGCCATAAATCAGATTTGTGACGGTGCGGCTCCATCTAGTGATTTTTCTCTACAACTGCAGCAGGAGGGATATAATAACTGTGGGTTACTCTGTATTTTCAATGAAACACACTGAAGTTTGTAAACTTCCAGTGTTCTATTGGCCTCTCGACTCAACTCGACGAGATGCCCTACTTGAAGCTGTCTGGGATCTTCAAGTTCCTGAAAGCTCCAAGAGAATTAGTGAACTGAATTGCTAACATACTTGAACGTGTGTCTGAAACTCCCCCCGCCCTCCCACCCCCAAAGCTGTTACGCAGTAATAGCTTACCTGTGGTGACAGTGTCAGGTGTTTTACTATATCGCTGTATTGGACAACTTATTGTTTCCTTTAGACAAGGAAGTTGATTTTCAGATATCTAAGACAAGGTAGAATACTTTCTTAGGGGGGACAAAAGAGTTAAAGCCTTTCAACTGAATGAAATGGAGCTGCTTTTCTTTGAGCCGCTGCAGTTGTCATTTTACATAGCTCTGTGATATATTATTGTACAGGAAACTTTGATTAATCAGATTAATTAGACACATGCTTGCAGTGTGCTGTGGTTACTTGAGCATTTAAACATTTTGTCAGATTTCTGCCTACTACTTGTGCTGAGTGAGGTGAAGGCTACCTAGGGATAAAAACTGATGGTGATACAGTCTTGGATGCAAACCCCACTGCTCCCTATATCTGTAAGGACAGTCCAGTTGCACAGATTTCACAGGAGAACAGGATTGCTCCCAGTGTTGTAGTCAGTAGGCATATATACTGTGCCTGAAAGTGCCTTCTCTCTGGAACTGCGTTCTTGAAAGGGTTAGGAGGGTTTTGGCAGCATATTCAGACTGGAACCAGAATGTGATTGCTTTTGTGAAACATACAGAGTTGGACAGACAGGATAGTCAGTGGCTGACCTCAGGGTGTGCAAATTCTCACTTTTTAATCTTGCTAGTCTATCCTGGTTTCACAGGCACTGTGTAATTGATAAATGTAATAGTCTGTACTTCTACAGGAGCCTTCCTTCCAAGAGTGTTTTTCTATGTAAGAATGTTGCACACCATCCACCTTGGTGTCATCTAGCTTTGTGGACTTATTGTAGCAATGGGACTGGCAAAGCATTAGCCTACTTGATAAGGCTCTCATCTCACTTCTGGGTTTCTGGCTTTCATTTGCAACTATTTTTAAATCAACCAGTTGTGCCTAATAATTGAGGCACCAGTGTAAAATGCTAAATGACCTGTCTTGAGTTTAATAAGCTGTTTCCTTCCGCTGTCCTCATAATTTATATTATTTTCTGTTTTTGTTTTTGTTTTTATTTCCCTCTTCACAGGTAGTGTCAACAACTTGAACTCAGCCATGTGTTCTGGCAGTTCATTGCTGATGTTCTGTGGCCTGCTCCAACGTGCTGGTAAAGAGCAGTATATAACCACCTTGATTGTCTTACTGCTGCACTAAAAAGAAGTAAAATCTGTGGGTGTTTCAGACACTGTCTGGTGTGGACAGTTGGGGTTTGTTCACACTGTGATTAAAAGCCTACCTACAATATATGTGTTAAACTATATTTGTTGCTAATGTGGTTTTACCAGACTTATTGGCAACATGTACTAAACCCTAGTGACAGCTAGAATGGTTTTACTAGACCAGAGTGGGTATAGATGGCTGTTTCTAAAACATACTCACTCTGTAATGGAAAATCACTGTACATCACAGATACCCTGAAGGAAGTGTGTATAGGCATGTTTGAAGCGCACAACTCCCTGGAAATAAGCCTTACACATTTGTTGAAGCTATATTGGACTATGGCATTGGAAAAAAATCAGTTGAGTTGCCTGTTGCGTCTGCTTCATTCAGGCTTCAATGTTGCTGGTGTGGCTTTAAGCATAATTTGAATGGTGCTTACTTAAAATCTTGGTTATCTGTACACTGCTCTCTGTTTACAATGAGGATAGCAGTCACACGGTCCTCTAAAACATGGCAGTATTTGCATAAAATTTGAAGGGCAACTGTAAAGGCTATATGTATTTAGTTCAGTGAGTAGAGTAGAAATATGTTTGTAGCTTATGTACAACTGAAAGAGAAGACAGCTGTCTTTGTTCCCTAAAGGTTGCAATATCCATGTAAAAACATGGTCTTGGGCAGGAAGTGTCAGGAGTTGGATTGTATTGAGCAGCGTGCTTGGCAGTAGTCTAACTGTCAAGTTTCTTAGGAGAAATCAGAGCAAATAAGTTTTAAGGAGAGTTCAGGGAGAAGTAAAATGAAGTTTGGAGCTGTTTAATCGTTTGCCTTACAGATGAGTGCAGAATGAGTAAAAGCCCAAATACAAGGAGGAACCAAAGAAGAATGCATTTGTATGGTCAGATTAATTCTTGAAAATGCTGAATTGAGTTGACATTCTGGATGAATGGGACTTGAATGAGATGAGAGCTGGATAAAGAAGTTTCAGTAAGCAAGGTGATGACCTTGGACAAAAGCTCTAAGTTGTGAAGATGAACATACAATCTTGGAAATATGTCACAATCTTTCTGATTGTTTTTGTATGGCTGAATGTGAGGGCCTGGAGCAAAATTAGAGTTGAAAAGGAAGAGTTATGGGTTGAGTGATAGGCCAAATAGTAATTTTTACCTATATTGATGAAGCAGAAAGTTTGCAGAGCTGAGCCTGACCTGGTCTTAACCATCCTCAGAGAAGTGTTTGACACAGATTGGGATTTTAATCTGTCTGCAGGAAGAGAAGCGTGAAGAGGTAGATTTGCAAGTTATCTGCACTGACGTGGTGGATAAATGTGTGTATAGATTGGGGCAGATACTCAGAAAAGACATCAAACCATGAATTCCTTACCTTTTAAGCTATTCATGGATAAACAAAGCCATAAGCATTTGATTGTATTTATTTAGTCTTTTTTAATAGGTTTTCATAATATCTTTGTTTAAAATTGAAACAGAACTTATTTACCATATATATGTGTACGTTCTTCTGTCCATCTTGGGTGCTGTAGATGAAAAATCTGTATATCTTATAATTTTACACTTCCCAGTGTATATCCCCTTGCAAGACTTAGATAAATCACTTGATGGTGGTATCTTTTAAAGGACTGTATATGAAATTATTATTTTTTATTCATAATTGAGATTTCTTATTTCTTCCAATTGGTTTTGCTATTGTATTTGTTTGTTCCATCCCTGTTATCTCTCTAGTATAGTGCATGCTTAACATTTCATTTTTGCGGTTCTGTAATGCAGGGTTTGCCATTTACTGCCATAACCTCCTTGACCTTAGAGATACTCATTCCACACGTATCTGTTGTAGCAATTTTTTTACCATAAATGTTCATTCATCTTCTCAACTGAAAATCTTGGAATTGTAAGAATGGTGCCATCTTTTTTTTTTTTATCTATGATAAATGGAATTGCTCTCCAAAATTTTCTTCTGATAGTTGAATTCAGTAATTTGAAATAAGACTAATAGCTTCCCAAATACTCATCATTGCTCCCGAAGTCATC